ATATATATATATATATATATATATATATATATATATATAAAAGATATAAAATTTATTTATATATAAAATATATTTTATATTTAAAAAATGAAGCATATAAAAATATTTTTATTTATTTATATATTTTATTATATATTTTTCATATTTTTCATTTTTACTTTTTATATTTTATGTTATAAAAAATAAAATTTAACCTGTTTGCAGCCTCCAAGAGTCCAGCAGAAGAAACTCCAGTATGTTGTTGAATATTTATTTGTTGTGAAATTGGCTGAATACCGGATCCATTTGGAGGATCACCATCTGGTAATGCCGGAATGTGAGGTAGCGGTCTGCTTTGTAAAAGAGCTTCTGCACAACATTATAAGAAACTTAATAAAATTTAATATTGATTTAATATTTCTTATTTTTTTTTTAACAAAATATTATATAAATTTATATTATTTATATAATTAATATTTTTTTACATATAAATATTTTATAATTATGTTAATATGTAAAAAAATATTATCTTTTAAGATTATTTATTTTCTTTATTATTATATATAGATATATATAATTAAACACATTAAGTTAATATATTAATATTTTATATATTAAATTATACATAAAAATAATTTATATAATAAAAAAGTATTATTATTATATTTTAAAATACAAATTTATATATAAAAAAAATTTATAATATAAATAGATTCTATTTTATTTATTATAATAAATTAAGAATTTAATTAGATTATTATTTAATAACATAACAAATTTATATTTTTAATAATATTATAATAAAAAACTAATTATTAATAATCAATCATCAATTTGATAAAAAAAATATAATATATAAATATAAGTATATAATAAAATAAAGTATATAATTAAATAATTATTTTTAATAATTTCTATCAATTTTTGAATAATTTCATATCATCAATTATAATTTTATTTTATTTTATATTCTTTTATATTCTTAATCTGCAATAAAGCAAGTAAGTGAACATACGAGAGAAACTAGCGGAAAGAGGGGAAGAAAGTGTGAGGGAGAGACGTGGAAAAAGGGACGGAAGTAAGAAAGAAATAGAAGATAAAAAATGAGAGAGTGAAAAAATAAGAGAAGAAATTACCGCTATGCTCCGTAAATATATTAGAGCCAACAAGACGGGACTCCTTGAGGTTTCTTGGCTGTTTACGTGTTTGTCGCGCAGCAGAGCCGACAGGAACAATTCTTCCTTAGTCTGTTGAGCACCCATAGTTTCCGAATTGGCATGCCCTTAGATTAATCCCGGCCGCAAAACTGCCGGGGCCGTTCACTCGGCACATTCACTTTCGGCTTGACAGTCTAACTCCCGATCGCATCTCTCGCCGGCCTCTGCCGACGACGAGAATACACGAGATTCACGAATCTCACTACAACGCGAACCTTCTATTCACATTTTTGACCAGCATTCAAGATCGACATTCTCGCCATATTTGACAGCTTCGACGTCGACGATAGCTCGATTCGCACCGTACTGTTTACTACTTTTACTTACCACCAGAGTCATTTCTGTATCCTCATTGGACAATCAATTTCTTGAACAAAAATTTCATTGGTCAACAGCTTTGTTGACCGATAACATCATCCGAAATCTATTCTTTATTATTTGTTTCCCTTCTTATTTTATTTGCTTGTAAATACTTCTATTTATTAAAAGAACAATTAACGTTTTAACACAATTGCATACTTATTAATATTAATAATATTAAATTAAAAAATTTAATTGTTTTTATTATCAATATAAATTATATTTTATACATTTATTACATTTATCTTGTTAAAATTGTTTTTAATTATTATAAATTTATTATATTCTATTATTTTTTTTATTCATAAAAGAATAATAATAAAAGAAAATTATTTATAATATTTAATAATATTTGTTAATGTAACTAAAAATATAAAATATGAAATATATTAAAGTAATATATAAAAAATATTTATAATAGAATAATATAAATATTATTTACTGTAACATAAATATTGTTTTACATTCAATTAACAATTATATTGTGTAATATTATAATCATATTATATATAATTTAATCTATATGTATATAGTATTAAGTTAGAAAGTGCCATGGTTTTGGAACACAGCCAACGCTTACAAGATACGTCAATGACTGAAGCGACGGCAGCGCGATATCGGAAACCCGAAGTTATTACGAATAATACGGAAAATCCCGAGAATTGCCGAAGCGATTCAGTGACGTCATGCTGAAGCAGAAGAGATAAGACAGTCAAAAAAGTGAAGTTCTGTTTTCTAATATATCCGCATTTTGTGTAGATATCTTTGTTTGCTACGTGATTTCAAAAAATGTCGTACGCATACCTTTTCAAGTATATCATCATTGGAGATACAGGTAATTATCTAATGTTTTCATAGAAGCAAATGTTAAATGATTTTTACATTCTTTTACACTACGTCGACCGTGACAGGGCCCATTGTTTTCGTTTCTTTGGACGATAATATTTGTGATTTGTAAATCTTTATAGCGTTCTTATAGATTACAATGTATATCCTTTACAATAACATTTAACGAACAAAATATATAATTCGATATATCATTTATACATACAATTATTTGCGTATAATAATTTTGTTAATTTAAAAAGTGTTTTATTCCTTTATTTATCTTAAGAACAGATCTGTAGATTAAACGCAATATTATTAAAAATTGAGATTAGATGTTATAATTGAACTTGTTTTAAATATTTGTATACATTGTTATTGACTTGTTTACTTTGATATTGTATATTTTATAAATTAAATATATTTTATAAATATAATATGTCTTTGAATCATATAATATCCTTTTATTTTAATGTGAAGTAAATCTTTAGCTATAAATAAATATATTTTAATATAATATATAACTTGATTATATATTTGTTTTCAAACAATTCATATATCATAGCATAGTATATATTATTTGCATTTATTGTTATTTTTAATTTTATAAAAACATCAATTTATATCAATTATTTATTATAATAATTATTTATTATTTTTTTTTTTTTAAATAGGAGTTGGAAAATCTTGTTTACTTCTACAATTTACTGATAAGAGATTCCAGCCTGTTCATGATCTAACAATAGGTGTTGAGTTTGGTGCTCGTATGATTACAATTGATGGAAAACCAATCAAACTCCAAATCTGGGATACTGTAATTATTTATTTTTTTAAGTAAATTTATAAAAAAATTATAAAAAATATAAATAACAAATCTATATTATTGAATTTTTATAAATTAATATGATAAAGAGTTTTTATAATTTTTATAATTTTATAATACTTTTTATAATTTTTATATGAAATTATAATTATTAATTTATTAAATTCAATTTATAGGCAGGTCAAGAAGCATTTCGTTCTATTACACGATCATATTATCGCGGAGCAGCAGGAGCTTTATTAGTATATGATATTACACGTAGAGAAACATTTAATCATTTGACCACTTGGTTAGAAGATGCAAGACAACATTCGAATTCTAATATGGTAATTATGTTAATTGGTAATAAAAGTGATCTGGATAATAGAAGAGAAGTACGAAGAGAAGAAGGTGAAGCTTTTGCAAGAGAACATGGACTTGTTTTTATGGAAACTAGTGCCAAAACAGCAATTAATGTAGAAGATGCATTTATTAATACAGCAAAAGTAATTTATGAAAAAATTCAAGAAGGTGTATTTGACATAAATAATGAGGTAAAATCAAAATTTAATTTAAAAACTAAATCATTATTATTATATTATATTTCTATCTATTATTATTAAACAAATTTTAAATATATTTAGGCAAATGGTATCAAGATTGGGCCACAACATTCACCAACAAGTCCTAGTGGATTAGCAGGTACTGGTGGTCAAGGAAATACGCAAGGTGGTGGGTGCTGCTAGGGGCTGGGGGTTGCCTGTCCACCGCTTCATCCTTCTCCAATTTAAATTAATCTTTTTACTCCTGCTCCTCATTTTATTCTCAACCAATTACTTTGTATATTTTTTGCGTGTGTCGCATCATGAGGTAACAAGTGACTCTATTGATGTATTTATTATTTAAAAAAAAACATATACATACGTATTAAATAGGAATATTATAAGGGAAAATGTTATATATATTGCTTAAATCATGAAACCTAATAAAGTTTTACTTTACAGATTCTGGCTAATGTAAATTTATTAGTTTTAAATAATATTTGTTACATGCTTTGTATACTTAATTCATTTGTATAGCAATATAGTAATGTTAGATTTTTAGTTGCATTCATAAAATAGTTGAAACTTTTAGTATATACAGATAATTTTACTTTTAATGTGCTAGAAAGAAATAAATAATATTTTATCAATACATTTCTATATTAAATTTTTATTTATCTATATTATCTATATATTTAAAGTTTTATAATTTTAGTTATAATATTCGAAAATTCGAGGAACAAATTGATTACAAATTGGATATTGATCAAGCGGGAAAGGATAGGCACTTCTATTTAATATTTTGTATTTGTTCACATTGTATATTGTATGTATTGTGCACTGATCTGATTTAATTTAATAATGAATTACATTAAAATATATATATATATATATATATATATATATATATATATATATA